AAGCCAGGAAGGTGTCCTAGTTGTCATCAGTCCATCATAGAACATACCAGCCACTTACTAATGTTACTGAGTGGCTCCAGGGCCAACACCTACCACATATGAGCAGGACAGGAATTTTGACCTGCCTACTGAAGTCTCTGCCTCTCAGAAGTTCTGCACAGAGGGCACTAGACTGCTGTGGGCAGCATGGCACTGCATGGGAGCCTTCAGCCCAGTGCTACGATCTCAAATGAAAAACGAGCAGGAGGAAAAGTGTATCATTGCACTGTGCTGTTGCATGGGAAACACCTCAGATTTCATCTCTCAGCACAGGGACAAAAAGATGCAAAGCTATATAGACAGAGAAGTATTTCAACAGTGGCATTTGGTCAAGACTAGTTGCTGCTGAACTCAATGACTTCTGCAGTGCCAGAAGCATATGGTCAGAGGCAAACTACACCAAATTGCTGTCACATGTGTGTAGCAATTTCAATAAATAAGCCACTGAGGAATTATATTAGGAGAGCTGAAATCATGGTGACCCTGTTCTGGTTCAGAGGCAGGAACTGTGATCTTGCTGCACTCTGCTTTCCTCTTGTTGGACAAAGTAGCTCCTGATGAGGCACTCCTCAGTGCCAGAAGTGATGCATCACTTGCTGGTGAGATCTCACGGAAACTGAAAGGAGCTGCAGCATCTCAGGTCAAACATTACAATCCACAGAAGGTGACCCAGAAAAGACAAAGCAGCATAGTTGTCTGGAGGCTGTTTGGCTGGCCTACTTTGAAGGGTGGTATCCAGAATTTTTCAAAGCGCAAAGGTTGACAGCCAGGTTTTTGTTGTCATCTGAGGTTCTGTACATGAGAGATACACTACCTCACTCAGCTGCGTTAAGAATGATGTGCTCTTGAAAAATCATGGAGAAACCTCTGGCTTTACACACTCTAAGGTTAAAATAAGAAAGTAGGCTGCAGCTGAGGAACATTTAGCAATGCAAATCAAGTATAGGAAACTTCGAGGAAAAATATAAGTAGTAGGGAGCTTAGGCGAAGAAAAAGAGGCTGATGCACAGACTAGAGAATTTACTTTCCTTCACATTAGTGCTGGTTCTCTGGAGTTTGCAGGCAAGAAAGAGGACCGGACAAGCATACTGTTACAGTGAACTATCTAATATCAAGACCTGACCACAAAGCAGGTGGCACAAAGCAGTCTAACAATCAAATAAGTCTGTTGGAACTAAAATCCAGGGAAAGAAGCCAACATTTCAGGTGTTTGTTTCCCAAGATACATAAAAGCTGTGCAATGACAGAATGGCAGTGTGGCACAAATGAGGAAAGGACCCTCTTTCAGCTACTTGCTGACATGTGTGAGTGATTGCAGAGCAGCAGATGTGACACAAGTTTACCCAGGTTCTGTTCTGCTGAGTAGGAAATCTATTGAGATTCTGCTGCCTGCTGAGGAGGAAAGACAGTATGCTCAGAAAATCTTTTTAAATCTCAGAGTGCTAATACTAGGTCTGTCTCCAGCTTTGTCAGAAGGTAGAAATAAAGACATTTTTTTCCTGCCTGTCAGTGAAGGTAAAAAGAAAAAAAAAAAAAAAAAGCACATATCACAATAACTCAGGAATTTAGATGTTTTACTCTCTGGTTTAAACAACTGGCAAAGTAAAGAATGGACCAAACAGGACCAGAGTTCAGGAGGGAGATGTACCTTTCAGGTCTCTGGGATTTGCTAGACAGTTCTCTGAGGCACATTTAGTGTTCTATCTATGGTCAGAGTTACACATCATCACTGTTTGAGGTCCTTGGCTCTAACTATACCACAATGAACACATTGCATAATGCTTTACATGAAAGTTCCATGAGGTTTAAAAGAAGGCAGTAGCAGGCAACAGAGATGGAAAACCTGTTGTTACGTACTGCTGTGAATTATTCCCATGCCTTTGGGCATTGTTCAAGGAGCTTAAAGTCAGACTTGAATCACTACACATACACCCACAAATAACACACTACAAATACTCCCATAGTGAAAAAAATTCCCCAAACCACCCAGAATACACTCATGAACACACAAATGGCACTGCTAATATGGAAATGTGCTGGTATACCATTTTTTACTCATGAATTCAAAATACTGCTCAGAAGATGGCTCACATATCTTATTAGATTACCCAAAAATTGGGCACTTCCTGTGCATTAAGACTACAACAACAGGACTCTAAGCAATCTCTGTAAGCAGCAAGTTGCTCAAACAATACTTTTCTCAATACCTAATTTCTCTGTGAAAGAAATGGGTGAAAAACCTCAACTTCTGCCTTGTAAAAAAGTGTATGTTTCTGAACAGTTGTGATGGTAAGCACAGTGTGCTGCCTTGAACTGCTGCGCTCACATTTATGCTGCTAGATACATGTGGCAGCACTCCCCAAGGTGCTTTCAGCCAAGACAGTGTCCTTGTGGTCTGCTATGTGGATTAACACCCAACTCAGTCATTATTTTACGTTTTTAGCTATCTGCTTCAAAGCGTGTTTGCTTCCTCTACCTGCTAGTCAGACACCTCATTTTACATAAAAAGCTTGCTTCTGGTCTTAAAAAAGTATCTTTGGACACTGAGTCATGTGAGCAGTAAGCAGATGGCCCCCTTTAGACCTATTGCAATCAAGTGACATGTAATTGTCACCTTTGGCTATATTGCAAAGAAACCACTATAAAATACAGCCCAGCATCACAAAAGATCTTCAGTCTTTGAAAACTCGATTTGCTTTAAAAGAAAGAAAACCTTTGCACACTACAAAACATAAATACTTCCTTACTCTGAAATAGACTTAATTTCTATCTATGCCCTCTGCCTGTGCCATGGCCGACCTGCTAAAGCTGTTACAGACTGTGATGCCTATTAAAAAATCAAATGAAAACATAAATTTTGCCATTTCTCTGGGTTGACTCATACCTCTGAAAAAAGCCTGTTTATTTTAGATAATGGCTGATTTTTCTATTTATAATCTCATTTTAGCCTGAAACAGTTCCTCTCAAACACTGATTTCCACTGGAAACGTAACCCAGCAAGTTAAACTTCAGATTGCTCCATTCAAGACTTAAGCTCACAAATTTATGGTTTTAACTACATCTTTGTTTCACTCAAGCCTGCTATCACCATATTCACCTTTCCCAGTATTCCTTTTTAAAAGCTTGGGAGATGGTTTTCTAGCAAAACAAACAATGCATACAGGCTAATTTTCAGTTTCATCAAGCATGGTATTTTCACATTGTTCCTTTTCTTAGGGTTCCTACGTAACTCTTATTTTTCACCTTACTACTAAGAAATCTTACCTCCAAAAGCCCTTGATCCTGCTCAAAACTAAGGAATACTTCCCTCAAACTTCTCCTGTATTCTTTTAGGAAATCCTAATATAAACTAGGAGTCTCCAAAACCAAAACTACTTGTGAGGTGAAGTTGGTGGAACCCAACCTATAGAAGTTTAGCTAACTTGTTGAAAAAAAGCCTCCCAAAACTATAGCAGAATTTTACACAGTTTTTCCACTCAGAGTGGCAAAAAGCATCTTAGAGTAGATGCAACAATGATGTTTAAGAAGAAAACTCATCTCTTCATAAATATTGTTGTTACAATGACAGAAGAGATGGTGCTTTTCATCTGGAAGATAACAGCCTTCATAGTGAATATCCATTCTGCCCTCTTTCTACTGAATAAATTTGATGTCTTTAAAAAAATTAAAAGATTGATGGATGCCTAATTGCTGCAGTAACAATATCATCTTAGGAAAAGGAATAAAGAAGTGATGCGATAATTGCAGGAAGCAGTAGTCCGATCAAGGAATACTTGTCAAAAGACAATTTGAAGAACAAAGCCAAAGGTAACAACTCCACAGTTTAAGCCATGTAGCATACTCTGAGTCAACTCCTGCTACAAAGATAAGTTACCATGGGCATTATAGAGGTCAGAAAAAAACCAACCCTCATGTCTTGAACAATATAGCTAGAATGCTACTTGATACAGCTGAGAAAAACAGACAGGAAGGCAAAAGGATTAGGAACTACAAAGATGAAATTAGCCATCTATAAACACAGCAACAATTTGCAACTTAAAATCTGAATTAGTGTAGACTAGCATACCACAAGACCACACAGAAATAGGTCTGAATATCTGTACAGTAAGTTGCTTGATACACATCCCACACTCTCACTCAGCAGTAGTAGGGAAAAATGGGGAAGTAAACAACGAATAACAGAAGTGTTAGTACTCTAACTATTTAACTCCATTCATGAATATGAAGAAATATCTATATTTTAAATGTCATGTTATGGTAAAGTTTCTAGAAAGACAATACTGTATAAAAACAATTCAGCAATTACAAGGAAATGTAAAAAGTGGGGTCAAACTAACTGGCAATATGAGTCAGTGTCAAGTGGAGTTTCAACTGGCAAAATATTCTTTCTGTAGAGCTTTGTAACATGGACCCCCTTTCAAAAATTTTGTTGTGTTACAAGGAAGCTGAAGAGGGACTCTTCATTAGAAACTTAGTGACACAAGTAGCAGTAATAAGTTCAAATGGAAAGAGAAGAAATTTAGGTTAGAAATTCTTCCCTGCAGGGGTAGTGAGATGGTGGAACAGGTTGCCCAGAGAAGTTGCGGGTGCCCCATGCCTGGCAGTGTTTAAGGCCAGTTTGGATGGGGCATTGAGCAACCTGATCTAGTGGACGGTGATCCTGTCTATGGCAGAGGGGTGGAACTAGAATGGTCTCTAAGGTCCCTTCCAACACAAGCCATTCTATGTTTGTCCTGTTAACAGTCGAAGAGTAATTCCATAACACTTAGTATAATTACATTTTAATGAAATACTGAAATTCTTCCTAAAGTGTTACAAAGATATAATACATCTGTAATATAAGTGTTAAGGCTCAACATTAAAATGAAAAGACTTAGTAAAAAATATAGATTAGAAGTTACTGCAGCAAAACAAAGTCATTGCAATTACATTTGAGGGTTTTTTTGTTGTGTTTTTTTTTAAAAGAAAACCAGCAATATTGACTGGCACATACAGACAAGATAAAATACAGTGAGAGTTTTCTTCCTCCGTACAGTATTCAATCAAACAGCACTGCAACAAACATTGATTGCATGCATAAGTGCAGAGAGAATTTTAAACTCTACATATAGTACTGATTTCAGCTTTTGTACAGCCCCATTTGCAACACATTCCTGCCAAACCCAGAGACTCCCGTTTTCTTCTCGGGAACCTGGCCCAAAGATAACTGCTTGATTCCATGGGATTTGCACTTCCTGTTCCTCCCCTGTCCTTTCGATCAACTTCCTCTACCTGGCGAACAAGTTCTTTGAAGTTGTCTGCCACAGGTACATATTCATTAAAGTAATTTAAACTATACAAGTCCTTAAATGTCTCCCATCCAAGAACTGGGCTGCTTCTCTGCAGCTGTTCCACTTCAGGATCTAAAACTGACTGCAGGTTGAAGCTTCCAAGTAGTTTGTTACTTGCTGTTTGCGCAGCACCTGTTTAAAGAGAAGACATTTTTAAGTTCAGACTGTCGGAGCATTAAAAGAGCATACAATCCTAAGAAACAGCAATAAAACCTATTCAGTTAGTATCAAGTGAAGTACTATTATCAGGCACTTCAGAGTCTCCACACTATGCCTTACCTGTAGCTTACTTTTAGAGGAATCTATGTTTTAAAGTCTGTGCTGCCTGTTAGACAAAGAGAGTACACAGCTACAACTGTGACTAAAGTAAAGGCATCCTATCACAACTGCAGTGTTACTGACAGAGAAATCTCAATTTTTCCACAGAAACAAAATTTTGTTGTAAAGACACGTATCCAGAAATATCACAGAGCTATGTCGTGTGGCACATGAATTACATTAGACCACTCCTCCCCTGTGCATAACCACACAAACTAGCATTGTGTGAAGAACAAACGTAGGAAGGACTAAACAAGCAAAAATCATATGTAAACTGCTTCTTACAGATTGCATTTTTCTATAGCTATTTTTAGCTGATGGTTTTCACTCATTTCTTTTCAAGGCATAGCAGAGGCTTGCAGAATTTACTTATGATGTGCTTCATCTCACTGTGTTCTCAAAAATCTAGCTCTACTTCTTTCACCTCATACTGTTTCTCTTTATTTTAATTCTCCAAGGGAAGTGGCATTGCTTACTACAGCTAATGTGAAGGAAAGTGGTTTATTCAATCCTTAATTTAAAAAGAATCCAAAGTAAGTCTTTTTTTTTGTGGTCTTAATACTGCTAATATGTTTTTTTTTTTGTTTCAGAAAGCTGAAAGAAAACGAGACGATCCAGTGAATGTTATATTCACTTTAATATGGGTAATTAGTATATGGTAGCTAACTTTCAGATAGAACAGCTGCCTGAGTATGTACAAAAATAAAAGCGGCTGTAGTTACTTTACTAATTAGACAGTGACTGCTATTTAGTAGTCTTTTGGGGTGGGGAAAACTTTAGTTAGACATCATGCAGCACAGTGGGAGCTCCTCTGTGACTGCTGTTCTCAGAAGCTGCAGTTAATAAAAGGAAAACAAAGTTTGCTGGGAAAGCACATAATCCTCGCAGAGGCTGTAGACAAATAATTTGTTATAATTACAAAGGTAACTTTTATCTTTTACTCAACACCCAGGAAACTCATAATACTAGCTTCATTACCTACCTGAGGTCTTAGGTTATTTCATTAACGATGTGTTTAATTAAAAAAAAAAAACCTCTTCCATTGCACATTTTAGCCTTAATACCAACTTTTATCCTTATTAAATAGTAGTTTCACAATTCAAAATATCGACATAAATGAGAGTCACCACTTAAAATTACTGTTACCTTACTGCTACTGTAGTTTGCAAACACAGCCCAAAAGAGATCTGCTAACACTTTCTTAACATACTGGGCATCGGATATGCGACAGCAAAACTCTAAGGAATATTTTACCCATTAAGTGTTTCACCACAGACCCCTAAAGCAGTTCTTGCTGTCTAAACCATAACCTGAAGCACCAGAGTGTCCCACCCATCCTCCAACGTGCCAACTCTTTGGTGTAGAGCAGCATAAGCGAGTGACAAAATCCCGCGCAATTCCACATCCATGGCGGTCCCGCACGTCCCCCGGGAGCTCTGCCGGGGACCACGGCGTCAGAGCTCCTGGCAGGGAGGGACATCCGAGCTGGGCTCCCCCCGCAGCCGAGGATTTACTGAGCTTTGGGAAGGAGCAAAGCCGTAGCGAGGGGCATTCCCCACCGCTCCCCAGGGCGCATCAGCCCTCCCTGCATGGCCAAGAGAGGGGAAATGTGTGATTTTGTGGGATTTTAAAGTACAAGCGCCTTGGCCGCCAGCAGCCCTGAGCAGCAGCGCGGTATCCGAACTGACCAAAAACTTTGCGGGTTATCCCGGCTAATAACGCCTCGGCGCTTCCCGTGCCTTTCTCTCTGAATCACGAGGGTGTCCTTCCAGAATTCACGGGAAATGCCGACCAGGAACGAGAAGAAAAGCGGGAGAAGGACGGGGACGCTCCGCGGCTCAGGGCGGGAAGAGCAAGCGGCATCGAGGGGCGCTCGCCCTTCCCCGCTCCCTCCCATCCTGCCCGTTTCTTCTCACAGGCCCTGGCTCGGGAGCGAGCGAAGCGCCCCGACAGCCGCCGCCGCCCGTCCGCTCGCCCCTCGGCCCCGCTCTCAGGACACTCACCGGCCGCGGGCGCCGGATCCACCGCCAGCAGGGAGAGCCGCTTCCAGCGGGACCCGCCGCAGGTGAAGATGACGGCGCGGATGAACTCCCGGCCGCACAGTTTCACCCCGTACGCGTCCCCCTCGCCCGCGGGCAGCGCGGCGCCGGGATGCCCCGGCGGTGCCGCGCACACCAGTGCCACCGCGGCGCACAGCAGTCGCAGCCTGGCCGCCCCCATCGCGCCGTCCCCGTCCCGCGGGCGCGTTCCCAGCCGACCCAACGCCTGCCCCCACTCCCGCGACCGCGGCGTCCAGCCCAGACCCTCTGCCCGCTGCCCGCCTTTTATGCGCTGCGGGCGGCGCTGAGTCACCGCCCCGGCCCCGACTCCGTGCCCCCTCCCCTTCTCCGGTCCCGCCGCTGCCGTCTCTCGTCAGGAGGTCACCGTGCCTGAAGCCGGCGTCGAGGAGCTCTCGGGAAGCGCTCCTCCGTGTTCCTGCCCCTTGCTAGCTGTCGCGGCTCTTCACGCAGCTGGTGAATGCCCCTCACCTTCGGCCTCCTGCCTCGGGCTCCCGGCCCCCCACCGACCCGGAGACACACCCCATCCCCTCTGCTGGGTCTGCACCTCAGTTTTTCCTGTTTGTGGTCAGGTGGTAGTTGCCAATGCCCTCTCGAATTGTTCTGAAAATGTGAAAAACATCAGCTCAGCTGTTTTTTTCCCTAGCAGGTCTCGTAACTTCTGCATCCTAAAACTGCCTGATGCAAAAAGAAGCAAGTAAAGCAAAATAAATGCTCTTCCACAGGATTACTTCAGCTGTGGATACTTGAGGTGGGATTTCATAGCCTGGATTCCTCTCAAGTTTGTTGTTCTGGAGGCCTGAGTTCAGTGGCAGCCATAGGCAACCAAGTGTCAGAGATGCCTTGGCTCCAACATGTGTGTCCTGGGGATGTAGAGTTCCACAGCTGTATGTCTCACCAGCAGGCCCCAGCAGGCTCTCACTGGCAAGGGTGGTGTTCTTCAGACCATCAGGCACAACTATGCACCCTGTGAAAGTAAACCTTGCTTCGGGATTTGGTTTTTTTCCCCCAGCACAATAGGATACGAAGTGACTGCTTTTATAAAAAGTCATACTGTGGAGAACCAGAAAGTTCGTCTCTCTTAAAGTATTTTGAAGCTGTTTTCTGTAGATCCTTTTGCATAAGGGCTATGCTTTCTATCCCCAGAGTACTGTTAGCATATAGAAAGAAAACCCTTCAAAACTCAATCTAGAAGGAGGGCAAAGAGAAGACCTGCATCTGCAGACTCCTACTGTGTGTACAAAAGTGACTGATTCACTTGTGCTGGCAGTGAAGACATAGTCTCCAATCACCTCTTCAAGGAGGACTTGGTGTTTTACACTGAGTTGGATCTAGAATGAGGCTGTGCAGGTCTAAAATTGGGAGCAAACTGTGAAGTTGTTATTGTGGTTAAACCCCAGCCACCCACCAAGCCCCATACAGCCACTCACTCCCTCCCCCACCAGCGGGATCAGGAAGAGAATTGGAAGGGTAAAAGCCAGAAAACTCATGAGTTCAGATAAAGACAGTTTAATAGGGAAAGAAAAAGTCATACACACAAGCAAAGCAAAACAAGGAAGTAATTCACTGCTTCCCATGGGCAGGCAGGTGTTGAGCCATCTCCAGGAAAGCAGGGCCCCATCACACCTAACAGTCACTTGGGAAGACAAACACCATCATTCCAAACATCCCCCCCCTTCCTTCTTCTTCCTCCCCACTTTATATACTGAGCATGATGTCATATGGTCTGGAATATCCCTTTGGTCAGTTTGGGATCACCTGTCCTGGCTGTGTCTCCTTCCAACCTCCCATGAACTCCCAACTTTCTCACCAGTGTGGCAGCATGGAAAGCAAAAAAGGCCTCGGCTCTGTGCAAGCACTGCTCAGCAATAACAAAAACATCTCCATATTATCAACCCTGTGTTCAGCACAAATCCAAAACGCAGCCCCATACCAGCCATTGTGAAGAAAATCAACTCTACCCCAGCCAAAACTAGCACAGTTGTCTACATTTGACCTTCCTTTTTAGTCCAGTCTTAAGTGTTTAGACAGTGGTATGTCTTCAACAGTAGGCACCATCATCCAGATGTTAGTAGGATGCAATCTGCAGAAGTGGAGACTGCTAATCTGAAATTCCTGAAGAACAAAACCTTGACCTGTTTTTCCCTCAGTTGAAGTCTTACCTACTATTCTGTTACAGACAAGTTGTGCAGAGATAACTACACCTTGCATTTTGAGAGAGCAGCACCTTGATTTTGTTTGTCTTGTGACTTTTTCTGAAAATAGCCATCCCATTAGTGAACTTACTTACTGATTGTAAGCAGTGTTCTAGATAAGGGAATTGTTTTCAGTGACTGGAAACCTGAAGTTGTGCAAAAGCACTACCAGGACAAGGCAATAAGGAAAGTGCCTCCTGAGCTGGGCAGTGACTGGCCTGATGACTCACTTAGCTTGTAAACTAATATAATTGATTTTATACCCTACTTTGATGCCCATGTCCAATATTTTTTCCACTCTCTAAAAGCAGTAAAATGTAAAACGTGTCTATCTCAGAGTTTTTACCAGGAAATTTCAAGAGAAGTTCCCAGATAGCAGGCTGATTTGTCAGTCTAGCTGGAAAATTCCTGACTCTCCACATGCTTCAGTTTCAAATTTAACTGGACCATCAGTTACTGTGGCATCCCATCTAGCTCCCCCTACGCAAAGGCAGACATTATGATGGTTTTTTTTAAGAACACCACTTTTGCAACTATCTGAAGAACATAACCTCTAATGGCAGCTGCTAAATGCAAGCACTTACAGAGACTGGAAAACAAATAGTTCACAACAGCTATTCTGACCTTGCTGCTTCTTCACCAGGGCTACTGAATGTAAAAGACAATACTTCCTGAGCTTTCCGTTAAGCTTGTTGGTATTTGATAGAGCACGAGTTGTCAAAGAGACCTTGGAGGGAATACCTTTTCAAGACATTCCTAATGCCTCAGGGAAGCCTCACTGCAGCATTCTTCATCACTCTTGCTGAAAAGCATAGGCTGTGAATGCTCTCTTCCTAGCATTAAAGACTGCAACACCAGGCACCGAGTTAATGAGTTTTATTAAGGATCATATCTGAACGAGCTGGCAGTAGCTTGACATTGCTTAATGTTACTATCCTTAATGCAGTTTCATTAGTAGGGTGCTCATGTATTGTGCAGTACATCCAATGTACTGGCTCAATGCAAGTATTTTGTATCTTTCAGTTTCCTAAACCAAGGTAAAAATAATTGTACTATTTCTCTCCTTCCACTAAATTATTAATCTGTTGTGCAATAGCAAACTTTATAGAGGGTAGAAGATGTTTCACAAAAACTGCTGGCTAAATTAAATGGCTTTAACAATACCTCAATAGCCTTGAATACATTGAAGACTTATTCCCATGTTAAATGACAGACAATCTACACAGGAAATCAGTGCTAGGACAGAAATGTACAGACTTAATTAGATTTTTTCCAGAGACTTTGTTTCAAATTCATGCAATTCACTACTGCAAGAACTACTTAGTTTTTGAAAGCTGCTCAAACATGAATTTAAAATATTTCTTAAATTATTTCTTATTTGCTTAGCACCACACAGGATTCTGTAGGAAAGGAAAAATACCATTGTATCCATGTGATTGGTGATCAAGTACCAGCATTATCCAGTTATCTTCATTGTGGGGTTTAGAAAGAAATTCAACCTTAAGAAGGCTTATAATTAAAAAATTAAGAGATCCATGCATTATTGCATAATGAAGACTAAGACTGATTAGCCTTGCAAATAAATAATAATGCAGAAACAATTTTTTTGTATATGTCCATGTAAGTGCTTTCCTTTTCTACTTTTAAAAGCAGTGATGTGTGGTCACAACCATAAAATAACTTCAAAATATTTAGAAAGGGGCTGGAATTTTCAACTTTCCCTATTGTAAGGAAGGGTACCAAACTGGATTCCCCAACTGGCTTTGTTTGTTTCTCCTCAATACTCATGTATCCCATCAAAATCAGATTAACAAGAGAAGTGTGGGGCAGGCACTTGGGACTCACAGATGGCACGCACTTTATTGGGTTCTGTAAATAAAATATATCCATAATTAGAACACAAGGAGTTTTGACATCCTAATCATGACTGACCTGTCAGTTTCCTGGAATAATCCTGCTCCAAGTGATACTGACTCAGGATACATGGTTATCAGACATTATAATCAGGAAAACCAACAGGATTAAGGTGCTAAAACTAGTGCCTTCAGGCCAGAACAAGGTCCCCCTGAAGTTACTCTCCTTTTTTTCCCCAGTGATTCATGGAAACAGAGACAGTTGCTGTGATATATTAAAGTAAGTCTAACAGCTGAGGCCAGTTAAGCCCAAATGACAGAAAGGAGCAGGATGTTTTAGGTGTTTTAATTTCCCTAACAGGTATGATGATTATGGGCAACTTGTGCTGTAAACATCTATTTCCCTTTAGTAAACCTAGTCACAGGTAAGCTATCCTGCTTTCTTTCACTGTTCTCTGAAGGAAATCATACCATTAAACTACTCTGTTTCTGTCACTGTGTGACCGATATGACTGGGCATGGCACATGCAAACATTTTGATTAATACACTGGCAGTAGAATAAACACCCTGTAAAGAAGAATGAGCATCTTCAAAACAAAAGCATGCATTTATCAAGGAAAAAAAAGCAAAGCTAACAGTAAAAAAATAAAGGCAATAAAGGTGACTAACCCTTAACTTCTTGATGATCGTTGGCACATTCTATGTAGCCCATTTAAATCCATTTTTGGATTTGCATTATTCCGGCCTGCTTAGAGACTGTATTTTTTCCCTTACAAATTTGGTAACTTTCACTGATACTTACTGTGTAATGCTGAATTAAACTTGCCCCATTTCTGTCACTTTTTAGTGTGGAGTCTTGCAATGGATTAACACTACTGATCTAAGTTCAAACTTTGGGAGAAAAAAAATAAAATCAAATTTGGCTAGGATGGAGTAATAAATAGTGACCTCATTATCTCCTAGAACTGTTGTCTAGGCCATTATTTTGCTTAGCCTTCTTCCTTTAACACCACCTTTTGATCCAGCACCATAGCCAGCAATATGTCACAAACACACAGATATTGATTCCTAATCCACAGTGCATATAATTAGGGTATTTCCTAATTTTCTAGGATTTGTAAGTAAAACTGTTGTATGGGCTATTAAAACTGCTCTCTTGTGGAAATGTCTTTCATAGGTTTAAAAGATGAGTTAAAAGGCACAGACAGAGACATACAAATACCAAAACAAGATGGTTTAATTGTTTTACTTTCTTGGAAGAAAGAGTATAAATAGATGACAGAGATCAAAATGAAACAGATCTTCTTCAAAATTAAAGATGGTGGACTTCAGAACTTGGAGGAAACACAGCAGATGATCTATTATTCAAAGCAAAACAAATAACTAGAGTGCTTATGTTCTATGAGTAGCACATAATACAGCAGCAATTGGTGAGGGATTATAAGACAGGCAAAAATGTGAAGTAGTCTTGAGCTGTGTTTTGTGAGCTCACAGAACGTGTGTAGCACCACAGGCTGAGCTGAGGCACACCTTCCTAGACAATACCACTGCCTTAAATCTTGAACAGCTGAAGTGTAGACCAAGCCATTATAACAATCAAGCCATTATAACCCATTTTATTCTACTGCATATTAAAATACATCACATTTGAAATGTTACAGATTGTATGTTGTTAACATGCAAATGACAGAATCCATTACAGAATGACTGAATGCAGAAGTGAATGCACTTTCAGAAATCAAACTTACACAGCCACACAAACTGTGCAATTAACTTCTACATTGAGAAGCTTTTGGTTCATTATATATTTACCTGTCTTATTGTAAAAATATTCTAATTTTAGTCAAGTAGTCTTCAAAATCATACTTGGGGCATTATGTCTAGCTGGACTTTAACTTTTAAGTCAATAATTTGTCAGTACAGACTTAGGCCTAATTTTTGAGCATTTGTTTTTCATTCCACAATTAGACTAATGCTAGAAGAATTTCCATCCAAGACACAAAATCATCTGTTTTTAAACAAGATTTGTAATACAGAAAGATGCATTTTTTACAAGTGTGATATCAGAACATTAAAATGTACTAAAACTATATTCTTAGTATATACCATGCTAAAGTAAAGGCATGCAAAAAATCCCTCAGTTTTTCAGTACTTGTAAGGTCACTTGGATCTACTCATTACAAAACCACACATTAATAATTTTGCTTGCTGTTAGCCTAAGTTAATATTCATCTTAGCAGTGAAACTCTGATTTCAAGTAAACAAATTATCCTGAGTTTCAAAATGTCAAACAAGCATGAAAAAGATTCAGGAAATAACTACATAATTTGTTTTCTCTTTTTGAGAAACTATCTCTGCTCATACTTTTAACACAGTTTCCCCTAAAACACACAGTTAGCAAGTGACGTGTTTACTTCTGAACCTGCTTCTGATAAAAGCTGTTTATTCCAGAATTTGAAGCAGAGATGGTAAGTTTACTGCCTAAAGAACAGCTAATAAAAAGTGTCATATTTTTCAAAGAAATTGAATGTTCCTGACTTCAAATTGAGCTGTGCATCTTGAAATGTATTTGAAAATTATGACCATATTTATAAAAATTTATAACTACCAATTAACTTATCTTTATTGATGATACTGAGTTTAGTCAGTACCAGACATTTTTACTACAGGTGAAAGTTATTTTCAGACTCTGAACAGACAATGGAAATTCAATATTTCATTATAAACAAGAAAAATATACTACAGCAACAATGGATATGTTGAAGAGATACATATAATATGAAAACCATAGTTACCTAGAAAGTACTGATTTAAAAAATGAATTAAATTTTGATTGTATAAAAGCTCATAATTTTCTCAAATTTTTCGTTATTAATTTATGTCCAAATCCAGTATTATAATCACATTTCAGATATGCAACTTTAATGAAACTTTAACATCTTCTTATTTTTCTCTGAAGAATTTTGCCTGAGATCTGATTTTCTCCAGATCTTCAAAAGTGACGGGTCCTTTTGGCAATTCTAACAAAGTACTCTGTGTGTCAAGTATGTTCTCTGCTTCACCTTAAAAAAACCAAAATAAACAAAACCAAAAAAGTTGAGTAAATTTTGTCAATCTTAAAGTGAGAAAGCAAAGGAAGGAAAAAAAATTAAGAAACTGATTTAGCTATTCTTGTTTGGACCAGAATAACAACATAGCAGATCACAGCTATATATTTTACAAACAAAACAAACTGATGTCAATATAACAGTAAGGTTGTCTCTAAGGAATTGTGGACAGGTGGGATAATTAGGAGTCTGAGACAGACATGTACATAAAGGCATACGTAAGCTTTAACAAGTAAATCTGTACAGTATTGTAGGTATGCCATATTTGGGCACAACTTCTCTTCTTGTCTCAGGCCTCGGCTAAAAGATGTCAGGGTAAAGCCAGAAAGTGGGCAGCACAGGACTTGCAGAAGCATTGGTCAAAGCACACTGCTCACAAAAAGATTTGTCAAGACAGTTACCTAAACATGCAGTCTTAACAGCATAGTAGGGAAAAGTTGTAGGGTGCAGAATGCTCTCAGTAAGGCTGGAATGAAAACATCTAGGACAGAGAATCCAAAAAACAAAGACACAGATGGAACACCACATATAAGTTGTGGTGACCTTATTGTATGTAAGAAATTATGAAGATTAGGCAAAGAATACATTTGTTTTGACTGATGCCCATTTGGTACAATGCCAACGATCTTGTTTACCTATTGCTTAACTCCTTGCTTTGATGATCCTTGCAGCAGTGATTTGAAATTGTATTTATATTCAATAAGCCTGACTGAATATTGCAATGCAGTCAAGATTGTGGCCATTCTTCAAAACAGGTCTGAATGCCAAAATCTTCCAACTGCAGTTTCAATAGTACTGCAGTGCCTGGGACCTCTGCACATCAGTAATATCCAACACCGCTTACCACTCCCAGTAACTCGTAATAACATAACGTCAGTCAGTTGCATATAGCATCTGATTATGAAACAGCAAGAGACCTTAGGTGACAGAGAGATGTAGATAGGCATAGCTCTATGCCTGCCACTCACATCCACTAGAGCACATTGCCCAGCCACCATCCTTTTCACATGGCTCAGGATATGAGGACAGAGCTACCTAAATCTTGGAAAAGGTAGCCAGAGTTCCACTGCTTAGTGAAGTTCTGTTCGGTTGGAGGCTGGCTATATAATCTCTCCCCTCCTCTAATCATTTGTCTGAAAAACACAAGCAGTTTGTGCCTGGACTGGGAGGAAAAACAAAACAGCAAGGCCAAGAACACAGATAGCAGGTCCATGACTGATTCTGTTGTGTCCTCAGACATCAGAAAAGATAGTGCATCTAGGGGCTGTTCTGTAACCCTGCCATCCCCCAAAGATTCTGATATATGACTGTGGCACACTTTGGGCTTTTCAACAGCACAAGCAGAACTCAAAACAAGTGTTTCCCCCTATGTCCTCAGGTTTTGGGCTTTAATTAGCCCAAGCTGTAAAGCAGGAAAAAATACCCCTTTGATTTCACCGTGGAAGAACACTGGAGTCATGAGATAATGTTTGGACACGTAGGCTAAAGACAGAAGAAAAAATTAACTGTAAGGAATATCAGAGACAAAATGCCTGGTAAAAGAGAAACAAAGAAACCTTCCAAGGGTGTAATGTGATTCCAAAGTATGAAGGACAGCAGATATAGACCTATGTGATCAAGGTGGTTCAAATACAAAGTTCACTGTGCAGCACAAAAAAACCTGCAGATTAGCTTAGGACAGGGAATTGGCTGAAGCTGAAGACAGGCATACCGTGGGGGAAAGACACCAGTTAAAGGAGGAACAATAAAGAGAATACATTCATTATTACACCAGAAGGATGAAGCATGGCATACACAAAGAGAACAGATGGACAAGCAGAGAAGTGGTTTAGAAGGTACAGGAGTGGACAAAGTGATCAGCTGAGTATTGAAAGCAAGGATTATGGCTGCAGGTCAATTCTGTCATAAAACCTTCTCTTCAACTACATAATTTTATTCTTAAAGTGTAAATGAACTCCTGATTTCCAAATCAGATTCATTTTGGCTAGTCCACTTCCTTTTATTTTACTATTGATATTGGTAATTAGTTTAATTTCCTTCTCTTACTTTCCTTTATTCTATCTTGTAAGTAGGATCTGTAGATCCAAATCTCTCATGTCTCTTTACAAGGCTAAATAAACCAATCACTTTGTTTTCTCTTGCAAGGTAGCTTGGCATTCCATAATAATTTCAGCTCTTCAGTATAATTTCAGATTCTTTTTATGGAAGTGGTCCAAATTACATGTAAATTTCCACAGAAAGTATTTTCCTGCATCAATACCATCTCATCTGTGCTCTATTTGTACTAAGGTTGTGGAATATTCATCCCTGGAGGTATTAAAAGCCTTCTGGACATTTTCCTGGGCAATTGGATGTAGATGATCCTCCTTGAGCATGGGGCTCGGACCAGACAACCTCCAGAGGTCCCTTCCAACCTCAACCATGCTGTGATACTAGGAAACCTCACTTGATGTTTCTAGACTTTGCTCAACTCTCAATTTCATAACACTACTGGTTTATACTCATTTTGTGATCTTTTAATGCATTCAAGTTTTTTAATAATTTTCTTTTCTTTCATTTCCAGCTGGTAAGCACTGATGGTAGAAATCCCTATTAGTTTCTAGCTTCTTGTTGACCTTATCAAATGGAATCCTATTTTATTGTCTCATTTCTTCAGGCCACTCAGTTCTTCTTGTACTACAGTTTATTTCATCTCTGTTGATGAAACTAATCAAGTTTGTCACCCACACATTTGAGTAGTATAATATACTCATAATTTAAAATACAAACCAAAAGCAGATCCAGACCAAATCTTGAGGAATATTGTTAGTAACCCTGCTAAAGCCTAACCTTCCTTTTTAAACACAAACCTTTGACATCTTCTCTTTACTCCCATGCTTACCTGTCTACTAATTTCCATGTCCTTCACATAACTTAATCTTCATGTGATACCACACCAAATGCTGTCATGAGTTTATAGTAGATCTACCATAGTTCTTTTGAAAAAAAAAAAAAATCTTCCTGGAAAAAATATAATTAGTTTGGCATACTTAATTTTAGCTTATTCTCCGTTTGGCTCCATAGTTTTTCTCCAAAACCTTTTCACAAGCCTTGCATACTGCTGAAGTTCCCCTAATGGATCTGAAGTGATGAAGATGACTTTTCCTATTTGGAAAGCAATAGGATACCACATTGCCCCTCTTCAACCTATATAGAACCACATGGTGCATTGTAAACACATTACATACAAATCCTAAATTCCAAGTGCTCCTTCTGCACTGTGTGTGCTACTCTCCTTTTCAACACTGATTTCCAAGAGCCAACCAATGTTTCTTCCCTGTGCTTAGCTGCCTCTTCATATTAAAATCCAAAGAAATTTATTTAGTGAGGTTGAGGAAATGTTCACAGATATACGTTCCTGTGTCACCTAAATATATTTGCACCTGTATGAAGAAGGAACTACCACAGATTTTGTTGAATTAACCAACCATTATTTTCAATGAGACATACAGAGTTAGGAAACCTAGCTGTTAGATCTGAAGGCTAAAGACCAAGAGCTGAAATGGATTTTTATTTTGTTTTAGTATACTTGTGCCAGTAACAGATAAGAAAATCAAGGTAACTAAGATGATTTGTGAAGGTGACAAACCATGGGCCAGTACTGTCTTCACTTACAATGAACACTCACTGAGCATGTCTGCTTCACTAGGAATCAGAGTAACTAAATCAGTGGCAACTACGGGGGATGATCCCACTTTCTGGGACTCACCTTTCTTAACCTTGGCAGGACATTGCAAAAAGATGATCAGCTGATGTGTTTGGTCATTACAGTGTAAGGACATGATTCCTGTCTGTATCCTTTTATCTATTCTTATAATCCTTAACCCCTGCCAAAACAGCAGCATCAGAGTGGAATACAGAAGGAAATCACTAGATCTGTCATTTCTCGCAATCATGCAATGCTTACTTCAGCTGTATTTATAGCCTTAGAGTTCAAATTTTTTGAAACAAGAGGAGAAAACAGTCTTAACTGAAGGGAAAGGCTGTAAAAGTAGAGTGAGTACTCTTTACTGGGAAAATATCTGATTTTAACAGAGAAGAGAAAAAAATGAGAGATAAGAGTTTTGTCAAAAAAAAAATCTATTACAAGTTTTCTCCCAGCCATTTTAAAAACACTTAGCAGGTTATCTGAAGCTTGGTTCTATGTGTGAACAGGACACACTTACATACCTTTGACCCTTTGCAACAGTGTCCCATAGCCCATATCACAATTATAGGCAAATACAAAGCCTAATGGAACTATTGGCATTAAAAATGCTGGGTTCTTCTTTTTCATTGCTCTGTGTTTAAAATAAAAAAAAAAAAAAATATTATTTAGGATATTCAACATATCAGCACTGTTAGTATAGGTTTACCTTGACTGTCTAGGACTTTGGTATACTCCTACAATCTCTAATCAAAGAACAAGTCTTAATTTCCTCAGAAGCATTTGTCTTCTGGTTGCCTTCTTGCTCAACCCAAGGATATTTAAAAAAATACTTAAAGTGAGTTTTGAATATACCTAACAAAAATGGGATTATCTAACTCATGTGGCTTGCATGTGCACATGCACATACCCAGCCACATGTAATATGTAACAGTGTAGATAACTGTGCTCAGTTCCAAATGCATCTGAGTCAAAAGCGAATGCATAATGAATAAGGTGCATTTAATCTGTACTATGTACAGATGTACACAAAACCATAAATATTTCCTACATTCCCTCTAATCATGTTACATCACAAGCAAAACATGTTACCAAACAAAAGTAAGGTAAGGCACGTTCTTCCCTATGCTTTACTAGCCAGGTGGGGTTTTTTTCCCTTGGGTCAGTTGATTCAAATTTAAGTAAGCAGACTTAAGAATACGTCCACTTGTTCACTGCATTAAAAAACATAAATAGAAAATTTGTTGCTCATTAATAGTACATTAAATCACAGTACAGACAAGAAAATAGCTTGGCTTTAAAAAAATCTCTCCTCTTCCACACACAACTTTTACTTTTCACTGAACTTTTGCTGCTTCAGATGTATTATTTTATTGTCAGCTCACATGCCTCTGCTTTTAAATAAGTCTTCAGTACAGACATAACCACAACACATCCAGAAGCAGACAGAATTCAGAGTCCCTTTGTCATGTGATCAACTTCTGAGCAATTACTGGATAAAAATAACTACTCGATGTAATGCAAAAGGAAAATCCAGCAATATAGAAATACACATGTAATATGTTTATATTTTCTGTTAGGAAATAAACTTCTTACCCAGCTGTTAAAACTACAGCAGAAAGTCCAAAAAACGTCCCAAAATATCTGAGAAATTCCCGTGTCGAAGCAATCTGCATGGCTGCTTGTCTCTCTCTCATCAGGTTCTGCAGCACCAGTTGCCTTTCCAGCTAAAGATGAGAGAGAGGTTAAATAAAATTGTCATCTATTTATTTTAAAGACTGAGTCAATCTCTCACCTATAAATCCAAAACACTAACTGATATGGCAGTCATTCGTTGTTTTTGATTGCAAATGGTCTTCTTCAGTAACAACTCAGCATAGTTTATACCAAGAAATCAATTAGCAAATGCTTTAATGCAGAATCTCTCTAATGCTGCTTCTCAAAGTTAAAAAAAAAAAAAGCAAAATACCAGTCTGATGTTTTGAGACCTCCACAAGTCTCAGCAGTACTCCCTAGTTTAAGGTTCTCTGACCTTTGCATTTACATGGTGATCCATACTGTACCATCTAGTTGCTTTCCAATTCATTCTAATTAACTTTAATTTAGGTGATAGTAACTTCAGAGTCACTCTTGACACCTCTTTGCTCTTTGAGGATTTCTCTTCCTCAAGATGCACCATAAGGCATAATAACTCTTCTGCAACACCACAGTTTACAGATATAGAAAAAACATTGTGAAGATTCCAGATCTTTTAAAGATACTGGAATACATATCAGAAGTCCATGAGAAAATACTTCTGTAACTAGAACTAAAAACAGTAATGGAAAAAGTACAGTCTAGACAGTATATTCACACATTAAAATAGAACTTTCTATGGTACACCAGAATAAAAAAGAGAACTTTCCACGATGCACAAGAATAAAAAAGCAGATTCTTCCATTTTTTTTCCCATTACATGCCCCATCTAAACATACCAATACATTTCCACTAAGTAAAGGTAAATTTAGAATTTCTTAAAAGTTCCTCTTGACTGTACAGAACACCAAAAAGAACAGTAGTATTTCCTTCTTAGAGTGATGCAAAAACAAGAACAGTGACAAAAATAAACAGTCTTAAACCAGAGTAGAGAAGTTCGTTAACACAATAAGAAATCTCTTCTTCACAGTAATATTTATAATTCATCTTTTGGGGAAAAAACCAGAGTATCTGGATTGCTATGTCTAGCCTAGCTAACCAAGTTGCATGAAAAGTCCAACAAGGTACAGGAAACAGAATATCAGCTGCCTAAAAAAGTGTATTCTAGGGAAGAAAGAACAAAGAACGAGTTCAGAAAATTCTCTTCTAATGAATCTGTAAAAGTAATTAAATATGTTCTTTTTTCCTGCTTTCTAATTCAAGAATAATTTAAAGGATTTGTAATTACTTAAGGTTTCCACCCATTTATTCATCTCCATTACTATTGATTTAGCCCAAACAGAACAATATCTGTTAAATTGTTACTAATTATTTCTTCAGACCATGTTGGTCTTGCTATCTTATTTACCAGTTCATTCAGTACCTAGCTAGGTAGAATTAATTTTTGAGACAGCATAATGAAAAAAGGACATATCTAATTACATATAATTGTACACAGTAGGAAAAACAACATTCACTGTAGACTCACAGTACTGTTTCATCTGTTTCTCTTTCCTCAAGACTTACATTGCAATTGTTGTTCTCGCAAAAAAAATATCAACTGGCTTTATCTTCCTGATAGCCATAATTTTCAGACAGTCATTTTTTTTCATAAGAAGTAATTATATAATGGCTAACAGGACACTTAATAAAATATCAAAATAATTAGATTTTATTTTGTCACCTACGAGATACTTGGAAATTCTAAAATAAACAAGCACACTGCCCATTTTTGTTTCCCAATATCCTAAGCCTGGTAAATTGCTGAGGGCTGACATGATAAGATAAAATAATGACATGTAATATCAATTTAATGACTCTATTTTCCTCTTCAGTGTGATTATAGGTGTAGTTTGCACATTTGTGAAAAGTATTAAGGGATCCTTTGTTTGCCTGTCAGGACAGATAAGGAGCCTAGGCTTCCAAGATGCAAAATAAGCTTCAATTTGAAGAAGCACATGGTAAGGAAGTGGGACAAGGGTATGCTGATGAAATATGGCTCTTGCTGAAAGAAAACAATGGAGAAGAAGAAAAACAGACAGTTTAATATGCACAGGGCTTAGAAAAATGTAAGTATGGCATAAAAAGAAGGCTGTAAGTTTAAACTTAAGAGTAAACAAAAGGATCCTAACATGACTTCTCTAAAAACAAAACACACACACACACACACACACAAACCAAACAAACCAAAACCAAAAAAAAAACCAAAAAGCCCCTTAAAAATGTTATACTTGGACAGCTCTTTAAAACCCAAGTGCTGAAAGAAAAAGATAAGTCACAGACACTAAAGTAAAACAAACACTAAAGTCTAACACTTTTCTGTAGAGACTGTCATATCAAATTTCAGAAGCCCAAGTGTACTTTCATGTATATCTACAAGTAGTTTATATAAACAACCTAGTATAAATGAAAGCAACTTGTTTTGTATATTAAAGACAGTAGCTACTGGGGTGGAGTACTGATGCACAGAAGGCAGTAAAAAGTAGATCTAGTGACATTTAGCTGAAAGAATAATTTAATTCTTGCTATTACTGAAGTTTCATGATGTTACAATGAAGAGTTTACAAGATCTATTTTGTCCATAAACTTACAGTGTAGTATCAAGAAAACCCTGGGATGTGTTTGGGGATGCTAAGTAATCTATAATACTGATGCAGAGGTTTGTTTTTAAACCAATTTTTATTTACTCAGAAGTTATATTGAGAAAATCTAGTAACAATACACAAACATGCTCCAAAATCTCTCTTAGTCTATGCAATACTATGTCAAACCCAGGATTACCTCTCTCAAAGGCCAGAAATTCCCTTTGTTCTATCCTCCTTTATTCTGAAAAAATCTTCGTTCATGTTTTCCATTTCCAAGATCAGTTTTGTCACTTGGCATAGTTTCACCTTGCAAAACAACAGACTATAGTGCTGTAGCTGTTAGGATTGCAACAGGACTCTGCATAACCAAGAGGCTTAATCTTAGTGTTCCAAGGCAATTCCACACTGACTTCACTGCATTTCAAGCTCTCCTTAAGGGAAAGGGAAAACTGAGCAACAGTTACGGCCAAAGTTGTCCTGTTACATACTTCTTCATCAGGCAATTTAAACTTACTGGAATAACTGCAGGAAAACCAGTTTGGAGAAACCTGAGCTCTTTTCAGGGAGCACTGTAGTCAAGGTGCTGCACAGCAGGAAACACCCCTCTGGCATACTCTGACAGAGGAGACAAAAGGCAGGGCAACTGCCTACCCTGTGCCATCAAAGACTGCTTTAGCCGCATCCAGACCTGACGTCTGATCACCCAAACAGGTTTATGAGCAATTACCCTAAAAGTGTATATGCATTTAGATGAAATCTGGATGCTCTAAGTGTCAAAATTAAGCACCTACATGGGCACTCAGCCAACTCCTCTGTATCTCGGTCTTTCAAAAATTTAAAAAATTCAGGCACAATATCCTTGTGCTTATTCATTTAACATGCCAATCTTAAATGAAGCATCTTGAGCTTGGATAGTTTTGAATAATCAAGATACCCTGATACGCTGACCTTACACTGGCAAACAACTGTCAGTAGATCTTAAGGCAAAACTATTGCATTAAGATTACAGTAACCTTAAGGAAATTAGGATTTGAAAACATATCTAATATAAGGAAAGACTCAGGAGTCCACCACAAAAGATGATTTTATATTAGATGAAAGAAAACCAAATCATGTTTGACTGCAGTTCAAATCAATATCCCATTTTCAGCTGTTAATTTCTTAGTAATTGTGTTTTATTTTCCTCCACATGTGTCCTATTGAAAATGCCAGTCACACTGGGATAGTGAAAGACTTTTGATCTATTAACATGCAGATTTTATGATAAAGGCCAAGTCTTACTTCCTTAGGACTTACTTTACAATGATGTTTAAGATTACTTCTTTTCCCATTTTGGCAGAGCAGAAGTAAGAATTAAAAAGTATTAATTTTAACTGCAAACCATAACATCACATGTAGAACTTTATAGGTAGTAAGACAAAAAAAAGTATATTATTCGGATTTAGCAGAGGTGTGCTATAATTCATTTAGAATAATCTTACTGACGGGAAAAGTTGATTATTGAGGAAACAAGCCAGAGGCGCACATCATACATATGAAAAACAGTTCACCATCCAAGTGCCATGTCTTAGGGAATAAATTCTATTTCATTTTAAATACATGAATCTCCCATCTATACAGCCGTAAAAACTTCAGTAGGGATGATTTACATCACTATGCTTGTATAAAAACTATAGATAAAGGGTCTGAAGTGCAGATTTACCATAGGAGGAAGAGATGTTGTAGCTTTCCTACCCAAGTTGCTGTGCATAGCACAAGAGAACTGAAACTCCGATGTGAATGCATGGGTACACATCCAAGCATGCTTTTCTATTACTGTTAAGAAATCGTGTCCTATAACAATCAGACCATGTTTTAGAGACACAGTTAATATAATAATATAAAAAAAGAATTTACGTAGAATTCTGGGAGTTCAATTCCATAACAAACAGATTTTTTAAGTGACAGTAGCAACTTATAAATTGGTAAAAAATATTGATTGCATAATTTTAAAATTTAAGTTTAGTATTTCAAAATGGTTATTAGTAGTAAGTAACATTTTATATTTTATAACACTCTCAGGAGGACTCAATTAGAAATAACTTTCCCATTTTTCTTTAAATACAGCCAGTAGTTTCTCAACACTGTGTGAGACACTGTAAGGCTGAGAAAACTGGGATTTGAAGTCTGTCACATACAAACTCATACAGTAAAAGGAAATCAATGTTACAAAATGAATCATGACAGATGAAGAGAAGTGAGGCGGAGAGGGAAAAGGTCAGTTACTGTGAAACTGATAATGCTAATAAACTAGTCAGTGGTAACCATCCTTATCATTTCTGTTCTTCAGACTGCCACAATGATGTCAAACCACATAAAAGAGCATTTATACCATCATTTCATTGATTAAAATCCAGTGGGAGAAAATTCTCATCTGAAATAATTTAATCAACTTTGACAACTTGAAAAAAAAAATCCAGTCCTCTCTG